AAACAACAACATCAGGAAGTGGATCGGAATTAACAAAAGGAGCTGTCTGAATCTGACTGAATGCCTTCAAAATGAGAGTTTAAACATCCAGGAAGAGCTTTCCCATTTGATGCTATGCTGTTTGTTGAACCTGCTCAAATGTTTATTTACTCAATCGGAAACAAATGTAAAAGCTGTTTTTATTTTTTTTAGTTTCAAGATATTTTAAACATACAGCGTGTGATCTATTTGTCATCATTAAATTGTTAACATGTTACTGTTTTATACTAAGACCATTAATGTTAAGAGGGAAACAATAAATGGGAAGTAATTACATGCCAGACCAAAAAGAAGAAATGATTTCATGGAGATGAAACTCAGCTTAAACAACCTCTGAAGCTTTCAAACAAAATTCTGAAATCATTATTGTTAAACTTCCTATTGGTAGGTCACATCAATACTATAATATCCTGGATTGAATCTGGATTCAGTTATATCAACTTAAACTGTTCTGGCGTAGGCATCCATCTGTGACATGAGACCTGAACTTCATAAGACAACACCTACAGGAAAAAAATTAAAAATTAACAAAAACAGCACTCCAATGGTGGAGCTATATCATCCCGAAATCAGGGCTCTGAAACCAGCTGCTTTAGAGACGCTGGACTGTCTTCTCTCTCGCTGGCTCAGTTGGATTTTAACCCCAAAAGGGTAGGGGAGAGGTCTTTGTCTGCTGCCTCGGCCTACGGGCCAGAGAGAGCTGAGCAACGAAGCCAAGCTCTTAATCTACGGTACCTGTCTGTCTACATTTCTACCCTCACTATGGTTATTCAATCCGGATTATGTCCTAAAGTATGGTATCCTTGACACCAGTGGTTGAAATGAGTTTTCTCTAAAGGGTAAATCTCCCTTAAAAATAGGGTGAGGAGCTATGCCTTCCAGGAGAGACTCATAGAGCCACTTCTTCTCCACATTGAGAGGAGAACCAGAGGTGGCTGGGAAATCGTAATCAGATGTTCCCAGGAAGCTTCCCTCAGGAGGTGTTCCCGGCACGTTCCATCGGGAGGAATACTAGGGGATGAACCAGGACACCCTGGAGGGACTATGGCTCTGGGTTGGCCTGGTAGCGCCTCAAGCTTTCCTCAGCAGTGCTGGAGAAGGTGTCTGGGCAGAGGGAGATCTGGGAGTCTCTGCTGACCCTGTGACCCAGTCCTGGATAAGCAGAAGAAGACGACATCACTCAACATCTGATCTGCAAAATATATAGTACATAAAAACGAAGAAGAAGTCATTTTGTTAACAGTTTAGAGCCACTGGCAACCAAGTTTCATTTTTTTGGCAGAAGTTACTTATATAGACTTTGTAGTTTGAGAAGTCCTTATGCCATTCTCTTAAATTGGGTCATAAAATGGAAAACCAAGGTCACATTGTCATAGATGAATAAAGATAGTTCAGTGGGTGAAATGGACATACAGAGAACTTCAAACCCCATCAACACCTCCTTTCTCTGCAAATCTCACAATTCTAAACTTCCACCATAAAACAGCGAATCCAAACGAAGCCCCAAATTGACATCATTTTGGGGATGTTGCCTTATTTGGTTCTGGCCTGTACTTTTGTCAAGCCCCGAAATTGACATACAGACCAGCCCACTGGTTCACGGCTCAAGAGAAAGAATAGAGGTAGATGTAAGACACCAGGTTAGCTGTTTAGCCTTTAAACACCCTATTCAGAGACCTTAAGGACCAAATACCCTATAGAGTCATTCTACGACCCCTTTAAACAAAGCTTTCAGAGCCTTTGAAAGACATTTCCCAAGAAGACCCAAGTCACATTTCACCAACATCCTCCACCATACTATATATAGTATACTATACTATATTGGTCTAATACATTATACACATTTTCACATATCCTGCTCTAATTCTAAGCCTGGTTGTTTTATCCAATAATTATTTATTTAGATGAGGCTGGATGACATCATCAAAAAGTCATTATGAGGAAAAAAAAAAAAAACTCTCTGTTGGGACAAAAATGCTCTTAGATTCAGAGATAAGCAGCTTTGTGGTTAATCCAGGCAAAAGGAAAGCCAGAGGGAGAGAAAAAAAAGCAGATTAAGTGCTCCACCACACTGACATTTCAGAAACATCTTTGTTTATTTTTAATAAAAAGGCAGCATTATAAAGTAAAGTGAAGATTATTTTCAATATCTGTCTGTTAGCTATTAGTTTGGTTTTTAGTGAAGGAAATCTGGTTGTTGATGTGCCGCAGGGCGGGAATGTCCAGGATCTGAGAGACACTGTGTTCTCTGCAGTCTGCATGTTTGATGACCGCCACAGCAGCGTCTCCCCATATGAAAACTTACCCAAAATGACCCATCCCCCCCCAACCCCCGCCCCCAAACCCAACCAGCAACATGCCCCAGCCTGGCACGTGCACACTGCCATCTTCTCAGCATGACTCCAGCAGGGCATGTTACAATGTGACCTGGTAAGGTCAAGGCACATCTTACAGCAAATATGTGTTTTCATAATAAAAAAATGCCCGAAATGGACGATTAATACTCCACTTTTCTAGTAATTTTAGTTATCCTTGCCTTTCAATTTCCATGGGGTATAAACATGGCATATCAGAGACAACCTTTTATTTCAAACACTTATCAAAATGGGTAAGATAAGAGAACACAGAACTAAAGTAAGGTAGATAGATGTGCTCAGTTGGAGAAATTCATCTAAATTTCGTATCTAGAGGTCACCAGGTCCTTATAACCACAATTTGAGATCAAAGTGTCTAAAAACCAAATCATGTTGAGCACTGACGCGAAATAAATCGTATTTTTCTATCAACAGATAATAAAAGAGGGTTTATAAATGTGGAAAGTTACACAACAACAGAGGGCCCGGGGCAGGATTGAAATCATCCAAAGGGATAAATCCCCTTGGTGAAGTAGCCAAGGCACTTGAGTCAGAGTGACAGAATCCCACACTGTCACATATAAATACTCCAAAAGGGAATTTATGCTACAAGGTTTTACCTGACATTAGGCTTGTTTGCCAATAAATGTAATTAGAAACACAGATACTCTGAGGGATAAATGACAGTCTTTATTTTTTAAATCAGTAACAAATCAAATTATTCAGTACCTCTTGATACAAAAGTAATTCATAAACATTTTACTCATTATGAATACAATTAATTTGACTGTAACAAAGAAATTCCAATTCCAAATAGAGTAACCCTCAGTTTGTTGGGGCTAACTGCGAATTTGCTCGACATGTTCATCAACTAACGTCACTAAATATTTATTCAGCAGCAGCAGCTTTTCAGTCTGGTTTCAGTCGTTTGGGGGCTTGAATTCACCAAACTATTCAGTCAAACCTTGGTCTGCTTTTCAAAGATGTACAGAAATGTCCTACTCTGAGAGGTTTCCTATGTTTTGCAAATATAAGGACACTAAATAGAAAAGTTTTAAAAATCAAAATGCTCGTTGTACCCACTCTCCACACCAATCCTTATCCGCATCCCTTTGTCTCTCCGGCTCAGAACCAGGCCGATTATTGTGACGCATCAGTGGTCAACCAATGATCGCTCTTCCTTTGGTCTTGTGTCCTCATGCTAGCATCACGTAGATGGCAAAGTAAGATTTTTACCCAGTTACATGAGAGATAGAAAGCGACAGGGAGGGGCTTGTGGCATGGGCAGAGGGAAAGGGGGTCACGTGGCACCCAAAGAGAACTCAGAGTGTCACAGAGCATCACATCAGCCTCGAGCAGTCATGCAAACACTGTAAAACTCCACGCCCTGCAAGAGAAAGAGGAGAACATGCAGAATATTTGCTGCAAATCTCAGTTGAATTTCTTTGCATGAGTTGGAGGTTTTGGTAATAATAAAGTTTTCAAAAAAAAAAAAAAATCTACCATGAAATCAAAACAAAAACAAGCCGATCTGCCTTCTATTTTGGTGCTCTTATACAACCTAACATGTTATATTCTCTGCAAAAATCCCATTTTCTCATTGCCCTATAAATGTATGCTTGCACTTGCAAACGAGGCACCAGTAGGATAATAAAAATGCAGTCTCACTTAGAATCCTTAACACGCGAATCAAGCGCACCACATCCTGTTGCGTGCAGATGACACCACAGATTCTCAGATGCAGGAAACAATGTCACGTTGCAGCTCAATGTGCCAACCTCGAGACTCCACCATCCCACTTTAGATTAAAAAAATCATCAAACATCCGCTTGAAATCTTTTAAAATAGTCACAGCTTTATTAAATCATTACAAACCAAAGTGTTACATTCATTCATCAATTTAAAAAAAAAACAAGACTTGTGAAGATTGCAATGATAAGATTTCTACACATACATGCCATTCTACTAAAGGTACATGATTGCATTAACATTGGAAGATCCTGCAAGGAAGACTCTTAAGAACATAGTCACACAGAGACAACTTTGTGATTTGTTAAACGATGAAATTACGCATTAATACAGTGAGTAGTTCAGAGTCCCTTTGCAGATCCACTTCAGCATTTTAAAAGGTTTCGATAGTGTTGTGCAAATATTCACTGACAGAAACAGCTCATATATACAGACAGATCAGTTTCTGATCTGGTCAGAAGGTTCTAAAAGATTCTGAAGGGAAAAATATATATAAAAAAAAAATATTAAGGTATTAAAAAGGTATAATTTCATCCTCTTTTAACCATGCTTTGGGTCTGCCATCACTTCATTAGGAGGAGCAGCTCAGTCAGCCCTCCCTTAAAAAGGAGAATTCAGAAAATAACCCTTTTTGGACAAATCATGTTTCACAGTGAAGTTTATTCTCCCTTTTATAGAACTGATGGCATCATGTAAGCATGCACCTTCGCTATGACTAATTCTCAGACCCGTTTGGCAGTAAACTGGTTTCCAAAAACCCAAACCAGTTCTCCCTGTGACCCCCAATAAGCAAATCCCCTTAAAAATTGCCAAAAGTTCTGGCAAGAATAAGTTTGAAAATTATTTCTTTATGATAAACCCTATAAAGCTCTGCCACTTATGTGTGGAGGATCCCAGGGAATCAGTGGATGGGTGAGATCAAAGACTGAGGTGAGAAAAGTGCTGTCCAGAGACACACCACCACATCTCGCTTCCTGCCTCCACCTCTGTGGTCTCCTCCAGTTGTCATTGGTTCATCCGTCATCTCAAGACTGTGGAGCGACCGCGTCTCTTCAGGGTGCCGGCTGGACGTGGACCTTCTCTGTCATCTGTTTGGCGCTGTAATAAGACAAACTAAGACCCATGATGGCCAGCATCATGGCGATCTGGTTAACGGTGCGGTCGTGTGACTGGGTCTGGACCTCACCAGCCACCTGCCTCTGGAGACACAGAAAGAGAAGGAGACAAAGGTCAAGGTTCATTAAAGGTATAGTGGAGGATTTTTATGAATTTTTGAAAAGACCTGCCCCGTCTACTTTGAAGAAAAAAAAAATGCACATGCACAACCCTGTACCTGCTGCCAAGAGGACACCCTTATTAAACGTGAGCAAAAGCATGCATAAGTCCATTTGTCCTCGTGCACACTATGTTTAAAAGTTGCTGTTTGCATCGCTCATACAAGCTTACTTTCCAAAAGAAGATTTGCAATTTTTCCACCATGTCAGACTCACCACCGGTAAGTAAAAATAGGGTGACGAGCACGTAGGACAGCCTTACGTAAACATATCACCAGAATGATTGACAGTTAGGAGGACCACGTATTTTGATGATCCACCCAGAAACTGAACATCCTCCACTATACCCTTATAATCTTACTTGTTGGACATGGAAATGATTCGTGGTGTTACAGCCGAATCTCCAATTCAGAAATCTTCAGTCATTCAGCTTGAAATGTTAAGCTGATATTTTACTAAAGTAGCATTTCAAGCATTTATTCAGTTTATTGGTTTATGTTCATTAAGAAGAAGTGATTGAAAAAGAAAATACTAGATTAATCAATGTCTAAAATTATTGATGGTTTCAATTCAAGTTCCCTTTTGAAAATTTTAAGAGAGCCATTTTAGACCTCTTCCCCATGTGACCAAGCAGGAACAGCCATTAAATATTTGGTAAACATTTTAATCAAAGGGGACCCGTGTCCTGTGTGGGAAGAAAAATATCAATGTAAAATCAAGAACGGGAAAAAGGGAAGAAAAAAAAACAAAAAACACACATACACAGATGTGTATGTAAATATATATATACATTCTCTACAATTTTATCCCATGAACAGCCAATCCCTTTGCTTTATAAAGATCAGGCATTTCAGATTTCTAAACTGAGAGACACTGTGAGGTCATTTATTATTTAAATTATTCACAGTCACAAAGAACAGCAGATCTATCCATTTCATTAGGTTGGACTGTTTTTGTTACAAACAGCTTATATTTCTATAATTCTTATTTGCTAGTAAAAACATAGTTTTAGGTAAATATTGCCATAATTCTAAGCTTAGTCTTTTCAAGTTCTCCATGTAAACTGATCTGAAAGCCTAATGAACAAAGCACTCAGTGAACCGTATAATCTCTAAAATTATTAAACTAACAACCAGTCTTCACATTAGAAAATTTATTATAATCCCACTACAGGGTCATAAACAGATTGATAGCCAGTAACTCCTCTGCTTGGTTTAATTCATCCGAGAGACGCTCTTTGTTATTGAATAAAGGAGAAATGACGGAAGCAAGAGTTCTGCACAATGAATGAGACATATGCTTCCCCTCGTGGAGGATTAGGAGGAACCAAGGATATAGAAATGATTAGTGCTCCCCCCCAGTTATGTTATAATCTGTTTCTGTAAAGTGCCTTTATTTAGATGGCATGCGATGTAAATTGGTTCTTTATTAATAAACCGAATTGAATGTTTTTTATAGAAGATCATGACTCGAAGAACTGCACAAGTGCTGTGACCTTGCCCACCCGTTGCTGCACACTGCACATTAGCTGGCTCAAAGAGAGCTACAGACTGCATTCTGGTTTACAGAAAGAAAAAACAACCTGCAGTTGTTCCTGATTGCAATAAAACAGTGGCAACTAACTAACGTGTTTTGCATCAGTCTTATCAACGTATAAAACTTCACTTGGTCGGACTACAGTCAGCATGTGTGTTAGTAAGAAGCTACCACAAATGTGGAAATGTGCCAACCAAACAATACCCCACTTTAATCGGCTTATTAAACAACAATCTCCATTTTCGCTCAAGCCCATGAATCAAAATTTTAAGTGTTACAATCAATACGCTGCTTATTCAACATTAAACACTAGGATCATTTTGAACATTTTAAATATTTATATTAGTGCAATAACGCAGAAAAACTGTGTTTTCAGTCAAGGCTGTCAAGCTGTGAAACTCATATACTAGCTCCTGGTTATTGTTTAGGCTAAATACCTGAAGAAGGCGGAAGTATCCAGGTGTAAGCCTGCCCAGTCTGATGATCATGTTTCTGAAATGATGGATCAGGGATCCTCTGGGATGGTTCAAAACCTATAATTAAAAAAAGATGAATAGCTTAAATATAGCTGGTGGAATTTATAGGAAAAACACAAAGAAATTCAACTTTAAAGTCATATCCTTGTCAAAATAGAAAACACTCCTTTGCGTTAACGTGCCAATAAACTAAAGCATCAGGAAAGAACATCTTTCGCCTGGAGCCATTGCACAAAACTGCACACGTGTGCAGAACATGTTTGATCGCTCCTCTGCAGAAATCTGAAATTCTTTATAATTTTGTCCCTCTTCGAAAAAAAAAAAATCTTCATTTTGCACTTCCAAAGTCGGGAAGTCCACTAATCCACCACTCAATGCCCTCCCTTCAGTTTAGAGTTATTAAATCATCATATTTGAACAAGATCTGGGTCAGAGCAACAGAGCCTGTATTTATGCTGCGTCATGAAGTGACACTACAGAACTAAAGTAATCTTCATTAATTAAGATGAATACAATTGAAATATTTGTGATAAAGCTTTGTTTGTCTTTAAAATGGCTGGACGACGGCGGTTGAAATGGACTGAAAATCATCCCTTTGTCTTGCTTCCTTTGATCCAACAATGTTCGAGGAGCAAATTTTAAGATTTGAAATTAGGTTCGAGAAATTAGGGTGGGGGGGAACAAGGGTGTTGGGGTGATAGATATAAACCCAATAATCTACGATGGCTTGTTTGTACAGACATTGGAAGGTTATGTGAAACCTGGGATGCACGATCCACATAAAAGGAAGCCGAATGACTCAAGAGAACTTATAAGGTATGAAAGAATAACACGCCAACCTGTGGAGTAACACCCCTGATTGCTAAAAAAAAATAAAAGTAGTTATTCCAAGCTTTGAAAAGATGCTCCTCGAGTCAAGAGCCAACGATGAAAACTGAATGATTTCTCACCGTCTGCAAAAACTAAAAGAAAGATCCCACCAGTTGGAACAGTGGGATCTTCTGCTTCCAAAAACAGGGGAAAAAAATAGCAGAAAAAGTCCCAACAGATGCCAAACAGGGATGAACCTGAACCAGAGAGCGAGCCTCTGCTCTGCTCTCCACCTTATATACAGCCCAGCTCTCACCCAACCAGATCTTCAGGCTCCACTGCGACACACGCCCACTTCTGCAACACACACACACACACAAACCGCTGTCCAAATTCATTACTCTCAGTGAGTCGTTTTCCAAAAACACATGCCTACCGCCTCCTTCCAAAATAAAACAGTCCGATACAATATGCTCATTCAGGTAGAACAAGGAAAATAAATAGAAAGAAAAAGGTTCATTTTCAGTGTATGGGGTTATATAACCGGCACGATAAGCACTTTTAATCTCTGTATAGGTCAGAGCTCTAGTTTACCAAACAGCCATCAAAAAGTGGATAAAATGCTGGAAAAAAACCCATCAGATTTATTAAAATTTAACGTCTATTTTTTTCCCCCAATCATGTTGTCAATTCCATAGCATTTCCTCTTCAGTGAGCTACTAGTTCAAAAGAGTCAAAGCTGCCCTTAATGCCATGTAACCTGAGCTCCAGTGCAAGAGGCATGAATCTGGTCCTACACCCTGTAGATCTGACGTCATGCAGCTCACACAAAACACTTAGTTTTAGCACTGATAAGCTCTGTATAAAAATGTATGAGGTATTGAAAAAAATAATAATCACACCTTACCTAAACACTAAATCATCTGGTGAGCAAACAACAAGAAAAGAGTAGCATGTTAATGAAGCACTGCCTTTGAGATGTAAGTGGTGCAACGCCCATCATGTCTACATCCAAAACAAACAAATCCACTGGACGCTCTATCGGGATCACCAACTAATTGCATGTTAATAAATCAGCAAATCCCTTTCCAGCAGCTGAATGCATTTAAGCATCTTGGTGCAGTGATGATGGCAAACAGAAGAACAACCAAAGATTGTGAATGAAGAAAAGGGAAATGGTGAACTTGGAACAGTTGATGGCATTACAGAAGACGCTCATTTGCAAGTATTTGCAACCTCAATCATTGCTCCGGTTCTCACAGAAGGTACTTTTAAAGATTCAACATCTTGGCACTAAAACATAAAGTAAAATGGCGATATTTAATTTCTTTGGTTCCAGTTGTCTTGAGATATCTTGACTGGGACTCTAAATTTCTAGATCCAATATTTTAAATGCGGACATGGAACTATGATATGTTCATAAAGTGTAATTCCTTACAAACGGGTGTGAATTGGTGCTGATGGCCAGCTTCAACTGTCTTTTCACTTCTTTTTTAATGAATAAAAAAACACTTAAACTATTCCCAATGAGAAATATCTCAGTTTTTTTTTTTTTTTTTTTGAATAAAAACACTTAAACTATTCCCAATGAGAAATATCTCAGAATTTCAATATATTTTACAACAACTCCAGTTTTTCCCTCAATGTTTATTACAAATAAGAGATGTAAGATGGGCAATAAGTATTATGAAAGCAGCATAAATTTCTGTTGAAAGTTAAATCTGCTTATTTTGATTTATGCCACAAGCCTGGGTATAGTTTACAGACCAAATGTGATCTCTGTTAATGTAGGGAGCATTTTCAGATTAAAAGACTAATAATAAAGTGACTCTAATAAAAACAAGTTCTGCTGTAGAAGCCCATTTAAACATGTAGAATCTTTCACTTAAACTTAATCAAAAGAGCAAAAAAATACACATTACAACTGGGATTATTGTAAGGATTATGTTTGCCCTTAAGCTCGGGAGCAAAATTACCCAACAAGGAAATATTAAAAACACTAGGAGTGCCATGTTGCTTATGTTGGCAAAATAAAAAATCTGATTTTTTTTTTTTTAAATGTCAGCAGGTTGGTCCTCAATAGTACTTATGACCTAACCGCCTGAGTTTATTGTACAACAAAGTGTATAGAAATTACAGTTTGTAAAATCTTGCATTTATTTGACAAAAAAAATTTTAAAGAGTAACTTTTTTTTTTTTTTTAGTAACCTTGTTTGAATGCAGGTAAACCATAAAGGGTGTTTTTTTTATTCATTAATTACGTTTTACTATTCATCCTGTTACTGAAATATGAAAGGATAAGAAAAACAGGATTCTTTTGTTAGACATTTATTACCTCAAGGGCTCCAGAACTCTGTTGATGTCAACTAAAATCTCAACCTACTTTTTTTTTTAATTGTCAAATGATAACCTGATTTATAAGATATTACAACAGGTGCCTAAATTACTGTAATGTAACTGATTTATGACTGCTTTTTAAAAATGAATAGAGTTAGTCATGTTTAAGAACAGGCTCAAGTGCTAATTACACCGGAAATATCTACAACTAAACTGCCTTAACCTTTTCTATCACTTCACTGGATCAAATATTCTGAATGTTTTCACCGGCTTTTTAAATATGTAAGCTATTCAAAGCAAAGACATCAAGGATTTTGTGTGAGAGGTGAAGCTGAATGAGTGTTAGGGAGTGGTCAAGTTGGTGTGTTGGCAAGGATCCAGGTGAATCATCTGAGAACTATTCATGTTGTGGTTGGGGACTACCACAAGTGATGCACCCACTGGTTCATCATCTGTGGCAGTGTCACACAAATCCAGGCAGAGACCTGCTACAAAGCAGGTAACTGCACCGTTACTGCTGTGGAGGTAAAACCTCTGACCTAGAAGCAAACATATGTTTAAATTATAGAAGAATTTGAGGGAAAATAATATCTGTCAAAGCCCTGAAGAGAGAGCTTTGAAAGCCTTTCTTTCAAAGCTATAGGTGCCCAAACATTCGACTCATATATTCCCTAAGTACACACTGTACTTTCCGCCAAACAACCAATAAAATACGACCATCAGGCTTTTCTTCCTGTCTTGGCCCCGCCTCTGTGTGTCTCTATCCAGCCCCCTGCAGCGAGCAACCATGTGAAAGATGGACCCATCTGCAACCGTAGCAAGACCATTGACCAACTAAATAAACCTCCTGCTGCACAAAGAGCCTCAGTGGAACATCAGCACTGTTAATCTGCCTGTCTCGCCATGGGAGCAGCACGCACACTGACTGTCCTGCACAGTCATGACAATGGCATGCCACCATTGTTGCCCCTTCATGTCGAGTCGATTTGTCAATGAGTGCAATGTCCTGTGAAGTGATCCTCTGGTGACTAAGACACAGATCATACCTGTTCATGTCCATTTAAATACCAATCTAATTAAATCCAAGCTCCACTAGAAAAAAAAGGAAAGTATGCTATGCAGTCACACCCTTAGAACCACAAATATTTAGAAACACGCTGCATTTAATCTAAGTCATTTGGACAGCAACAAACAAGACATTCAATTGCCTTGATGGAAAACAGCTAAAATGAAATAGCTTTCCGCTTCTGTAAATGCTTTAAAACACAATGTTTGAGGCAAACTAAAGCAGAGATCCAGAATGCAATCAGACCTGGAAACTGGGATACTACAAAAGTTTACTGGATCATAAAAATACAGATTGTAGCAGCATATCTCAGCAGAGTTAAGGAGTGTAAAACACAAAAAATAAATAAAAAAAAATTTATTTCTTGCCCCAACTGTTAAAAATGTTTTAAGTCGCTCTTAAATCATTCTAAAGTGGAAACAAGCTATATATATATATATATATATATATATATATATATACACACACATTCTTAACCTTCCTAAATCAAGCCTGTGATGAAATTACAGGAAAGCTTTAAACAGAGAGATTTACTATATTTATTATGTCACTTTAAATATGCATTTAAATGACAAAAACTTACACTTCATTTAAGCACACAGTTTCAGTTTGAACTCAAGCATGTAGAACTTCCAAGAAATTGCCCCACAACAAACCAGCCATAGTTCCTACACTGGAAGGGTACACTCTGTACATAACAGAGAAATGCAAAACTCATAAAACTTCCTAAAAAAAATGCTGTCGAAAAGCTTTAAGTGAAAAAGGTACTCAAATTACAGCAAATTATGACTAAAGGGTTTTAAAGTTTAAAGAGATCTTGCACATAAAAAGCTAAACTTGTATAATTATTTCTCTGATTTTAATCCTTTTTTGGATGAATCGAGAAAGAATCAAAAAGAAGGAGGAAAAAAGCCTTTCTTGCTCAACTTGGTTTAAAAAAAATAAAAACAGATGATTTCCTTTTAATTAAGCTTTACTGTAAAAAAAAAAAATAATAATAATAATAATAATAATAATAATTTAGATAAATAAAATCTGATTTCAGGGATAACGGATACATCTGAAAATAAGCACCCATCTGTTTTAAAGACATGCTGCTTATATTGGATGCAACTCGCACCGATTACGTCATCCTAATCAAGATAATTTGGATTAATTAAATCCAGCTGTGGACACAACTTTCTACACAAAAAAAAAAAAGAAAAAAGAATGAACTACCTACATAAAAAATATATATATATTGTTGGTAAAAAGCGAAAAATTAAAACTTATAGAGCTGTATTTGTTTAGATAACAGCAAGCAAGAGTTTCATAACAGTTTCTGAGGAGGCACAGTAAAACTTTCTGTGCTCAGAGAGAAAGGAGGACTGCGCTATAAGCGCTGCTGGAGCTGCAGACTGTCCCCCATGTCCCACTGTCCACCCTGTCCATCTAAAGCTGAGCTCTTACCTTCAGCTGTCCGGGGACAGGGCGGGTGTTCAGGGGGAGCTGTGGAATCGGATCAGCAGCAGCGCACAGTGTGAACAGGCTTTATAGGAAGCCGGTCTGCAGCGGCGCGTGTTCCTGCTGTGGCAGAGGGGAGGGGCCCTGGCAGCGCGCACACATGCCACTGTTCATATGGACCCACGCAGAGCCCCACGGAGAGTGTTGGTTCCACGTTCAGGAACATTTTGTCTTTGTGTGAAATACTGTGGAGGAGGAACCCGCACATTTGCTCTGGAGGCGCTCCGGGGTGTTTGGGTTAAAACGGACTGAATTATACTGCAAACATGGAGTCTGTGTTTCTAATGAAATAAGTGTGTCTGTTTCTGTTTAGAATCGGGTTTAATTTTAGAAATAAAAAGTCTACGATTTTTATTTTTTATTCTGAATTAATTTAAAAGTAGA